CATGCAGGGAACCTGAGCTTATTGAGGGAGACAGGAAAACAGTTTATCCCTTTAGGCTGAGCGCTATATGATGGCATTTTGTCTCTGTGGGTATTTGGCACGGCGACAAGTGCATGTTAAAAAAAGTGACACTTGTGACACTTTCTCTTCACACAATGTATACGGCATCTGCATCTTTCCTTTAAAAACTCTTATCATATGTGCTACATGTGCTGGTCACCTTTTGCTGAAACAAATATTTCATAATATGACACTCGCATAGCGCTGCATGATTTGCATTTCAAGGCAACCGTTTTTTTTTTCCCTTTATCTACTGCCTTTAGAAATACCAGGACACATGGGGAAGGTCAACACATGAACAATGTGTGTCAGTCTACTCCACTCAAAGCAGTGAGGTCATGCAATAACCAAGCTACATAAACAGACAGATCATATTTCTTGATGTTGATGAATATGCTGTAGGAATAAATCACGAGGGAAATGTTGGTGTTTAGACTTCCGAATTAGAGCGCCAAGCCGATCCCTCACGGTATCACGGGGAGAGTAACATGGCCGCCTCGACAATTCCATATTCATGACCTCCACAGTAAGAAGTAGACCAGGCTTTGGCCTAATTCTGCGGCGACCTGCGCCTTCACTTTCCGAGCCTCGGCGCAATCCTCTCCTGTTCAAACAAGACGAGCCGTCTTGCTCAACGTCTACAAAGACTTGAAGCGTCGCCTGAGCTACAGGTGTGAGGGCAAAGAGTTGAGCAGGACGAGTGAGCGGCCCGCCGCTTCCCAGACATGTCCAAACTGTTTCCAGGGAGGTGATACAAGACTTTGGCACTTCTGAGGCCGTTCCTTGTTGAGCAACCTCCACACCCTTGGCAGCAGATTCCCCTTCAGTGGAGCAGAGACATAATAATAGTACGATTGAGGAAGATAAACAGTGAATCAACCCCATTGGTTGCGTATCACTCTTTTTCCCCCTATAGCCAATCAGCACGGGATGACGAAATGCTGTGTATACATCTTAATCCTGAATTTCGACAGATGATGTCATAGCGTCTCCGTCCAGAGATGGAGAGGCGGCTGGGTATTTTTCCGTGGTCACGGTTTTTGGGGTCAAACGGCAAACTCAGCAACCACAGCCACATCTGGTCATTGGCTGTTTGCATATTCATACACCGAGCAGCTGGACTGTTAAATAACTTCTATTCTAAGTTTTGTTGCATTAACATACTGTTGTTTTTACCTCTTTTAACTCTTGTGGGAGAAGAGAGGAAGAGAAGGAATCATACCGGAGACATTTAGAGGAATTCTATATGAATTCTATACTGGTAGCCTGAGGACACTTTTGCTGAGCGCAACTGTCCACCCACACTCCAGAGCCGGCCGTGTGATATCAGCCAGATAAACGTGTGTCGTGTTCTCCGTGCCTCTCTACAGCTAATCCTGCAGGAACGCACATATTCCTGCTCATCTTCTCAAATCATTACACCCACATCAACGACAAAGAATTCACACCACAAAGTACGGCATCTAAATGTAGCAGCTTCCTAGAATATTAATAATAATGATGATTCTACTTATTTGGTTGAAACATATATGAGCAACCCCAGGATCATGCAGTAGTCATGCAGCACCAGAAGATGATCTGATTGAGATGAGTGAATCAGAGCGGGGACATGCCTGCACAGGGGCAGAGAGAGAGGCAAGGCGAACACCACAGGCAACCATTTCAAGTTCAAACTAAACTGCGGCTATTACACGATCACCTAAACAAAACACAACGCAGGAGAATTTAGTTCCACATGACCTCTGATCTCCCTCGCGCACTGGATCTAACTTCTCCTTAATGCCACGGAGTGATGGCAAACCGAGTCACTCCTCAGGGCGAGCGCAACAGAGCACACTCCATCCAGTAAGCGACCCTTGGTGTGCAGTTTGCGAGTACAATCTCGGGTCACTTCACAAAAAAACCTTTTTAGTGCGGCGGTCTAATTTAAAGTCAGCGCGCGTCCTGATATAGACGCTTTTTTTGCTGTATAGAGCCACGCAGTGTGTGTGCGTGTGTGTGTCATGCAGCACATGAGAGTTCAGCTGGCTCTGGTGAAAACATTCCTCTGACAGACCGCACAAGCTAACCACTGTACGCCGCTCCAAAAAAAAAAAGGGGGCTACAAAGAGCCCAAAGACGGAGACGCAGGGGGTGGATGGGGATGGCACCGGTAAAGACAACAAGAGGAGGAGAAGAAGCGGAGACAGACAAAAAAAAAATGAAATAATAATAAAGACTCCGGGATTTCCTGGCAAAGACTTACAGAGCCGAGGGTCAAAGTTTGCTCCATGTATGTCGCTGGGCGCGCGCGTTCCGCTGGCTTGTCCCCTCAGCGCTGCTCCGCACGCCTGCTGCGTGTAAACCCGTCCATCCGCTGGTGCTCCGGCGGCGCGTGTGTGTGTGTGAGTGCGAGAGGACGGTGTTTGCGGGTGCAGAGAGGGAGACAGATAGCTAAACGGGGGAGGAGAGCCGAAAAAATCCTGACAGCTACTGGGAGTTCAAAAGCTCCCTCTCTCTCTTCCTCTGCTGCCGGCTCCCTCCCTCTCTCTCTCTCTCTCTCTCTCTCTCTCTCTATCCCTCCCTCCTCTTTCCCTCTCTGTCTTCATGCCTTCCCTTGGTTCCTGCTACGCCCACAAGATAGATCCATTACCCGCAGGCGTGCAAACAAGAGCCGCTAATGTCTCCACACCTAAGAGGAGAGGAGAAACTTCACACTCACGGAGCAGGAAGAGGTTCCCCAAATTTCTTTCCCAGCAGGCACCTATGCCTGAATAGAAACAACGTGCTTTGACGAAAGATGTGCTCACGTGCAGGAGGAAGAAGTTGGCTTGTAGTGGCTGTGTTGGGATGTGGGGGGCCGATTTGCAGCAGAGCTCCACTCCACCTGGATGCAAGACCAGCAGGTACAAAGCAGCACATGCTTAAACATGCCCCAACATAAGGGGATCAGACTACGAAAGCCCAGCGTGCATCACACACGTCAATAAACCCTCTGTGCCATGAGGACAGTCCCTCAGATAATCCTTCCCAACAATACACAAGTTAGGGAGACCATAAAGAGACCACTTCAACCCCTCGAGGTCGTACTCCCACGCTGAATATGTAGAAGCAAGGAGTCACTTGAGGTCAGCAGCTCAGCCGTCTCCTGTCTGATGCAAAGGCTCTTCAGAGAGAAGTTTACAAGATCTGTTGCCCAAGTAAAACCACCAACTACATGTGTAAGTCTTTGTAACGACACACTTGGTAATGTCATTGGAGTGCTTTTGGTTTGCCACCATCGGATCTCTTGACCATGAACCCAGGGTGAAGCTCAGCCTTTGAAACAAGAGCCCCGGGGGCAAGTGTGAGGATCTAACCGGATCTTTGGTGACCGTAAAAAACATCCCCTATGGTGCCTACCATGACGGAAAACTGCCCTTGGTAAAAATGACTGTTCTTGATGATTAGATGCAGTCTGAACTCTTATTGAGCCGGATGAACCACGAGAACAGATTCTCTGATTTCTTGGATGCTATCTCACAGGAAGTAGAGTGATATCATCTCCAGATATCAGCTAATCAGATTAGTGCGACAATCTGCGTGTTTGTCTGCCGGCATTGCAGCACAGAACTGAAGCCGATCAAATTTAGAAATACTGTTGCCATTATATCGTTACACGGTGCCCACCAGTACGCACTTCCAACAGAAACATGTCCAGGTGAGGACATATGTTGGTTATGACTCTTTGAGAATCAAACTGCAGGGACCCTGATCCAAGCTGTTTGTCATGTGGGGAAATTGAACGTCTACCTCTCTTCCCTCCAACAACTCCATGTCGATACGGCTCTGTGCAAAGCAAACAGCAGACAACTCTGTTTGCACAGCCTGTGTTCCACTGTTACAATGGAAATGGATTTCCTATTCAGGTTTTTTAAAAAGTGGCTTTTTCAGACAATTAAACATCAACATTCTTCTGTTTGTCATCAAGAGAAACATGGGGATATGTCCCACACCAAGGAGCACTAGCCAAACTCAGCTGTCTTCATTCAGCAGCCAACATGTCGGCGCTTGATAACGTCACGTTACCCATGATGCTTGCATGCGAGAGGCCAGTGTTTTTTTTTGACATGACTGATACGAGACAAACACAATAGACTCCGTTTCTCCCCGTTGGTGTCATAGCAGCTCCTGATAGAGTAGGTGTGTGAAGTCTAAGGTTTGTACACACATTGCGTAACGAAGAACTCAACACAATTACTACCAAGTGTGAAAGCAACCTGCTTTTGGTCCAGCCGCTGCTATTTTGTTCAGTGAAAAATAGTTCCACATAACAAGTGTAAGGTAGAGAAGTGTACTCTCTGAGTACAATGTGTGGTCCGTGAGCGTTTGGCATTTGGTTTGTTGTTCATGTGCTTTTTAGAGCAGCTATGACATGTAGGATGGCTCCGGTGTGCGCGTGTTTTGTTTTTTGTGTGCGAGTATGAATCAGTGTGCATGATGAGTAATGCCTGCATGCGAGCGAGAGAGAGAGAGAGAGAGAGAGAGAGAGTTCCTCAGCGACATTAACACGAGAGAATGTGAGCACGACATATTGGGTCGCGCAGCAGTGCTCATTAGCGAAGGCCAAACAAACAGGACCGCGCCTCTGGTGCGCACACAAAGACCACTTTGTGAGCCGCCCCGTGCCACAAGTTTAGCAGCGAACGCAGAGTTCAAGGTGGCGGAAATGAAAGGTTGAAAAAGAGCTGAAAGTGGAGCAGCATGAGAAAGAGGGGGGGTCAACTGAACGTCCACATTAATAGAGCAGACCACTTGAAAACACGCTGATGATTTTTTGTGGAAGACAAACAATGAATCATATTAAAAGCTTTGAATATATGAATGTTCCGATTCAAATACGATGAAGAAAAATAAATAAAATACAGAAGATAAACCTCTGAGGAAAATAAAAGAAAAATAAATAAAAACGTGTTGCCTACCTCTAGGTCGTCCAGTGATCGTGCCAAGCTCATGCGTTTGGAGGAGCGGCGTTTGGAGGCCCGAGCAACACCCAGACCCCAAAACCTGGAGCCCTGTGACAATAAAAGGAGTAACAGATGAGCAAAGACCATAGACAGCATATTCACACTTATCCTTGTACTTCATTATGAATAAAAGGAAATTCAATTAAAATCAACTTCATTAAATTAAATTGTATTGTCAGTACTGGTCTGGATGAATTACCAAAGCTAGAAACCTCAGATTTCCTACAGAGCTTCTGCATTTACATGTCATGTTATTTATTACCTGAACTACTACAACGCTGTTTCAAAAGTAACGATACAGCACTGACTTCACAGTCTACCATAATATAGATCAGACAGAACATAGTTTTCTGCCTATTGTCACTTAAGAGAAGATAAAGCAGTTTCGCCCATCGCCCCTATTCTTATGATTGGCGAGGCGGACTCTAATGTTTGAAGGAGAGTTTAAGAATGGCAGATAATTACCGCTGCATGACATGCGGGCTCTACCCTGCAATTTGCCCGGCTTCCTGTGGAAGATCGTCTCCTTTCAGAACTAATGCAGGACACAATCTGCTTCATAAACACAGCTAAAAGGCTTTGCTTGAATAAGGCATAAAAACGCCAATAAATGGCATAAATGAGAAGAAGAATATAGATCGGGAAGGAGATAAACATCTGTATACAATAACACGCACGGCCACATCAAAACAAATGCCAAGGAATTGGCTGGACGTTAAACAAACATCTGTCAACATCTGGAAACTAACAGCTGAAGAGGTTAAAGAAAAGGAAACGATCACCTGCAAGTTGAGTAACACAGAAGAGGAATTTAAAGGAAACTGGAGTAAATACGTCACTGTTAACTGGGCAAAAAATGACCTGAATTTAGATTTGTAGCTGTTTAGCATGGTTGCATACATGTCTAATGACTAATTGCATGTATCCCCTTGGCTGACAAAGTTAAATAAACTCTGAGATACTGCGTACACATCATGGATTTCCTCGGGGAGCCTCATTTCCGGGACTCTATGGATGCACAGAGCCATCTTGTGGGCAGAAAGGACAGTTACATTAAAAATCCCTCTCTCTCTCTCTCTGCATGTTTATAACAATGACATCATTGACTTAAAACAGGTGCTTTCTTGAGTTCAATTCACACTCAGCACCAATTGACTGCTGAAAAAGGTGTGTTGTATTTCGTTGTATAGGTGCCGCCAAAAAACAGGCTCGCTAACACCCCCTCAGTGTCTGGAAAGTCAACTCCGTCTGACCATTTAATACTTCCTGTGTCGCCGTGTTGAACATGAATGAAGTACAGAAACAGATGTCTTGGTGTGACCCAGCTGCCAGTGGAGCTCTAAAATGTCACCGTGTAAGGATTTCTCATTAACACGTGGCTAGAAAAAACAAAATATGCAAAGATATGAGAGCAGAAACAAGCGCTCCAAATCCTGTGATATCTAGAAAAAGTACACACAAATCAAGTTTTGATTTAAGGTAAATAGCCACGGGTAAAATGTTTTTACCTTCTTTATAATCAAAATGTGAATGAATTTGAAACTCTTCAGGCTTCTAAAAAGTAAAATAAAACACCCAAAAATTGCAGACTTCAGCTTTAAAACGTATTTATTTTTTTGTCTTACTTACATTTTTGGTACCGTCACCTTTCCGCTGTTTCTCTCTCTGCTCAAGAAACCTTCTGGTCCATTCCTGTCTGGGAGGGAGCATCATGACCTCTGCTGAGCAGTACCTGTCTGAGGGGATCTGGTTCATGGGGGGCGGCAGGTTACTTGTGCCGGTGCTCAGGCCGGGGCTGGAGGACCAGCTGCTGGTCACCGGAGGCTCAGGGTTACCGCTCAGGGCTTTAGACCACTTTGGCTTTGAGAACCACCTTTGGCTCCCTCTGAGAGGGTCTCCAAAGAAGTTTGCTTTTTTGCTCAGCGGCAGGGGAGGTGGTGGGGGCTTGAACTGGAACTCGAGCCTGGGTGGAGGACCTCCGTAAAAGCTATGAAGAGAATCGGGTCCGGGTAGGGACTCCGAAAGGGAATGTGTGCCGGCACTGTTCTCGGGATTCAGTTTTTGCCCGTTCTTGGAGAGGTTTATTGGGGTGAGGTCTTCAGCCCGGGGATAATCCCATGGACAGCTGGGGAGGTGGGCTCCAGGGTGGTTTCGGATGGCAGAAGGGAAATCCCTGTCCGCTCTCTCCTCGGGGGGCGACGCATTCCCAATCCCACTGTCCCCATTGCTGCTGGCGCTGCCTTGTTTGCCGGCGCTGCCGATCTCCTTGGCTTGCTGCTGAGTCTCCATGTCCAGTTTGACTCGAAGCCTCTCCACGGCCTCCCCCATGTCACTGTACAGCACTGTGACGAAGTGAAGAACATCTGGCGGAGTGTGAGGGAATTCCAGGCAGCCCAAGGTATCTGGATCGGGAGTGCAGTCGAAGCCAAAGCGTCCGGCAATGCCAATGTGGTCGTCATGATTTCCTAGCTCTGGGTCGATGAAGAACACGTGGCAGGAGGCCCGCAGAGGCCCGTCCTCGGGCACGCGGCCGTTGATTATATGCGCTGTAGTGACCAGGCATAAAAAACGGGGGTCTTCAGCACACACGGCCCCTAAAACCAGGTTCTCGGCGGGCAACGCCGCCAAAACAGCTCCGGCGTCATCACAGAGTCGGATGCAGTCGAACATGATCTTCATCATCACCAGACTATGGGTGTTCTGCTCCATTCCCAGCAACCGTATTCGCTCCCGGATGGCTTTCAAACAGTCCTCCTCCGATTCGGTGGTGTTTAAAATCAGCTCTGTGGAGCTCAGGTAGCCCACCACCAAGGTCATGTTTAACATACTCCAATCTGGTTTAGCTTCATCTGTGTCCGTAAACACAGAGTCCGTGTCCCCCGCTCTGGGAGTTCCCTCCTCTCGCTGCTCAGCTAGAGAGTTCCACTGTTGCCCACCCCACTGCAACCATTGCGACATATCGGGCTCGGACACCGGCCTCAGTTTGGCCCCGCTGGCAGGACTCCAGTGAAAGGAGGAGTTACTCGAATCGTGCGAGATGGTGCGGAGAACACCTGCCTTTTGGAAAACACCACTTTTCGGGCCGATCCCAAACTTTGCGTCATTGAGAATGGGGTTCCCCATGATTCGGCTCGCAGCAAGCACCACCAACTGCAAGGGCCCCGTGCAGCTGCCAATCAGCTGCACCACGGTCTCATGCAGAGCGGTGGACACATCGTTCCCATTGATGGCCATTATGTGATCCCCCTGTTTGAGTCCCACCAGGTCCGCGGGGCTTCCCTCCAGGATGCCGCTCAACAGGCACGGCCTCTGTCCCGAAATAGTGAAGCCATACCCGGCCCGACCGCGGGTGACCTCCACGCCCCTCAGCTCACCGACCGCGCTTAAATCCAGACGCCTCCTCGCGCCCTCGGGCTGTCCCTGTATCCTCATCTTTGTTGTAGGGTGCTGTGAGATCCGGCGAGTTGGAACTGAAGCACTATTGTGTTGTTGTCATCCTACAAAACAAAGTGGGGAAAAAACAGGATGACACTTTAAAAGCAGTTTGTTTGCCGTACATGAAATTATACCCACAAAAAAAAAAAAAAAAGAACAGAAGTATTATCACACAGGGTCAGACAATAATTCAGTTGCTCTCAACAGAGACATGTGTCAAATTCCTTGGCATTGAATTGAGTCTTGTCAAATTGTAAAAATAACACCCATCACAGTTTCCCAATATCATGTCCAAACAACAAAGATATTTAGTCTACAGCCATTTGACACAACATAAAGACAATCTTTACTTTTGAGAGGCTGTAACGAGCTAAAGACCCAATTTGTGCAAAAACTAACTTAAACTATCAAAAAAAAATCATCTAAATTGTAGCTAAACCTTTCTCTAGATTACACATATAATAAATATGTGCAGTTGAAATTTAAAATATACACTTAAATAATAATTCTTGTTGAGACAATTTGGTTAAAAATCATACATACAAATATACTAAAGTAAAATATAAACCGAATAAAAAACTGATATCAATCTTTTTTAAGCAATTATCTGTCAGAGATAAAGCACACACAGCTGGCCTAGCCCCCTCCACCCACTCCCCTAAAACAGAGTGCCAGCTGGCTCTCTACTCACAGCAACATTTAGATGAGAGCCAGCCTCTTTGGTTTCGGTCAACCACTGTTTATAAATGTTCCACTACTCTGCTGACCGGACAAGTTAAACATGGAGCCTTGTGTTTTTGTTTTTATTTTGTATCAATTATAATAAAAAAAAACATGACGTTACGCTCGCATTTAACGCCAAATCCGAAACTATCGACACAATGAGGCTGCGTGAGGACTAACTTTTTAATTACCTTTTTGCGGGAGTGAAAAGATCCACAAACGCTGCCTCGGGTTTAACGCTGCTTAACGCCTTAAAAGTTGACATTTTCACTTTAAACGTCCATTTTTTATTTTTTTTCCCCTGCCGTGATTCAGTATTCCATATGGCAACGCGCGCGAGCACCGCCGCCCTCCATTCGCTCGAGGCGGAGAACACAAAGCGTCTTTCATTGTAACCATGACAGCGTAACGTCTCTGGAACACGTGACCTCCCTCTCTGGCCAATCACCACGTGTGTCACGTTCAATATTCAAACCTTTGGAGTGACGCTATTGGCTGATGGTGATGACTGCTGACAGTCTTCATTTTGCAAATAAATCTCCTTTAACAAGCATTTAGGTTGTTTTTTTTACTAAATAACGCCACTTAAATATGGAAATAGTGTGATTTAGCCAAAGTGTAAGCTCTGTTATCATCCCGGAAATATGTCACATTTTAAAATGCACACAAACATTCAATGTTGATAAGTTCTCAATATAAATTAAAAACACTCACATTATTAGTCTTACCTATATGATTTTGCTGTTACTGCAGTATCTCCCAATCACTGTGCATGTGGTTCTCCCGCCCTGCTGCCTCTTCCACACAGGAGCAGCATTGACTGTGGTTTGTCTGTGAACAATACCTCTGTGGTCAAAGGGCGGCAACGGTTGCACTGTGACATGGCTTTATTACACATGTGCAGCAGCCCACACATTTGCAAGAGAGAGGGTTTGATAAAAGATATCGCATTGTGATTACTGATAAATGGCCTGATGCTATTTGTCATGAAGGAATTGTTTATTTCCTATGTTTTTTGAAACAGCAACATCACAGGTAGCAATATTTGCTTCACATCTTGAACAAACAGTATTGCATTTTCCTTTTTCATGGAGCAGAGACTTCCATGGAGTTGGTGTAGTGTGCGAGGAAACTAACTTAATCCCCAGTTTCTCCAAATCCTCTTAAAATAGGCTGAAAGGCAGAGACTTTAACATTTCGGCTCTATCAGGCCTTGCCTTCTGTGTATATTTGCATGTCAATAACTAATCTGCAGTAAAAATGAAAGACAATAAATAAGGGTAGACGGTGTGTTGTTTTATTCAGCAGAAATACACATATGAACAGGACATCTTTGCATATTCTAGCATTGAAATCTCAGAAAAAAGCGTTTCTGTTTCCGTCTCCATTTGGCCTACAGGCCTTTATCTAAGCCTAAAAGCACAATGCCGTCCTTGATTAAACTGCATGTCATTTGTTTGTCCTAAGTCAGTCCAATTAGTGGCACTAGTGGCAGTCCAATTATGCGTCACTGTGATCACACAGACAGGCAGAGAGCCCGTCTGTGTGATCACAGTGACGCATAATCTGAATTTGCTGGATATGAAATATAAAAATGAGTCAGTGGACTCAAAAATTGTATGATTTTTTATTTATTGCAGCTAAATAAGATTCACAAAATAGACATGTCTGTGGGCTGCAGCCGGTCATGTTGTCATTTGTTGACAACATTTCCAATCCCTTCATTATTGCCTCAACTTCTGGTTCTTAATACTACAAATTGTCCTGTTTTGGCATTAACGTTATTCAACTTGTAATTATCCTGGCACAGTGAAAAAGTAACAAGATAAGTTTTTTTTTTTTTGCAACGCTGTTGTTCCCACAGTGATTTTAATAGGATACTTGACAAATTATCACGACAGGAGATCTGATACAGCTATCCCTACAATAAAAGCCCACATAGGGGCTTAACATACATTAAATGTTTAAATGCCAGCATATGTCATTATGGTTATTAACATGGACCATTCCACTTATGATATGCAGGCTGAGGACACTTTCAGAAATGATGACAGTACATTTTTTGTAACTCTGCACTGATAAGAGCTATACTTTGACATACGCAAAATGATAAACCTTTAAAATGTTCTGTGTTGAACTGAAACCCAAAATAAATGTTATTATTTTTCTTGCTTCAACGAGGCTATAAGTGAGGCAAGACCATGATCTCTCCCCGGCCACCCTAACGCTTCATGGTTTCACTGGTTCTTTGATCCCACTTTGACCCCATGATGCTGACGTGGCGGAGGGAGGTTGGATCATCTTCTCGAGAAGGTTCATCATACGTTCCTGCAGCTGCAGACACTGCACCTGCAGGAGGTTCTGTTGTTGCATGGCTCGACGGACCTCCCGGCACGTCTCCTCTATGGCCCGGCTCGACTTCCTCTGTTGCTGTAACATGGCCTGCATCACCCGCAGTTTCTTCCTCTTTATGGACAGCTGCTTGTTGGCATGTCTTTTCCTGGCTGAAGTAGGGTGGGAGCTGGAGAACAGAGAATGGGCCTTTTAGAGCAGACAGGGTCTCGTGGTAAGAGATCACCTCTAGGTGCAAAGAGCTCATTGTTAGTCCTTCGATCTAGAACAGGTTGTTAACATCAGCAACTCTCTCCAAAACCAAGAAATCGTTGAACCTGAGTACCAAAAGTACTTGAAAAATACAGAATAAACTAATTAAATTAGCATCGATGTAAACAGGAACTAAGTCAAAATTTAGTTAAGACCAGACCCAAAGTAAATGTTTTACCACATCAGCTGCTAAAACATTGCTAAACACCAAACCAAACAGTCAACTAGCTACCACTAGAGGCCGCAAAGCTCAAGCTAGCTGAAGATAATCATTCTAAGTCAGACTTGGTTAAAGACAAATGTACCGACTGTTCCCACCTTGTTACGTCATATATGTGTACGTTCAAAGAAAACCATGTGTAAAATTTGAAATTGCAATAAGAGAGCCAAATCTGATGATAAACACAGCTAGCCTCTGTTGAAGCTACATTTACTCCCCCAGCTGTTTCCTGTAATTGAAACATATCAATTTGGAAAAACTAACATCATAGTAATTTAGTTTGTTATCCCACGTAAATAAGGCAGCAGCAAAATCCCATCATTAAGGATAAAAAAACAGCTAAACTACTCCTGCTAAAAAGGTAACTAGCCTAGCTTAGCAGATTAGCTTTCTACACTTGGAGAACTCATGACTTGCTGTGGTTAAGCTGTTTTTAAATCACATATTCATGAACTTGTAAATAATTATATTCAGTTCAGGGCAAAGAAGAGGGAATACATCATGTTTAATTTGTATTGAATGTTTTCTAAATCATGTGTTCTCCGCTCATGTTCCCTGAAGTTTGTCTTGCAATGGTTATTGTTGTTTGTTTGTTGTAAAATACTAAAGAGAAAACTTCGATCCCCTTTTTCTCAACTTCACTTCTTGCTGTAGTTACGTTGCTCCGCTCTCTACGGTGCAGCTCCACAAGTTGTTCCTAATGACACGTTTACTTGTGAGTTTATGATATGATATTATCTCATATGACAATATCATATAAATCTCTTTCTCTCTTATCGGCTCAGAAAGACGACAAGATATGGCTGAAAGCTAACCTTGAGCTTTTGCCATTTTGTTTTACTGTTGCTTTTTGTTTTTCTCTTCTTCAAAAATATACATCACTAGTTCCTGTTACCTGGAGTCCTGCGTGTGTGTCTCGCTGTCAGAGCTCAAAGAGTCCAGCTCTTGTTTTATCTCCATCTCATCTGAGGAGCCTGTGTACTCTGGCAGGAATCCCAGCACCGCCTCCTCGCACTTGGGCAGCAGGTTGTCTGTAGACTGGGAGGAAGTGGAGGGACCTGCACCGGAGGCCTGAAACTCCAAAGAAGTCACACGCCCGTTCTCTAGTGGCTTGGAGAGGATCTTCTCAATGGCCTTGAAATACGGCCAGTCCGGTGTCTCCCCACTTTCACAAACTACGGCTTTCAGTCGCCTGTTGGATAAAAAAAACAAAAAAAAACAGATATTTAAAGTCATGCAACAGCTGGAGTTTGTTGTCATACCTCTGATTGGCCATTTGGATCCGGGAACTTGCCTGTATTGAAATGACATGTTGGTGATTTTCATCTTGATCTCCTCTTTGAAGCGCTGCTCTCCGGTCAGCTGGTAAAACCTCTGGGCCATCTTCTCGTAAACCTTGGCGTTCCTCTTGCTCATTTTCAGTTCGGGGTGGTGTTCCTCCCACACGTACAGGAGGGCTTTCATTTCCCCGTCGGTCCAGTTCGGGGCCCGCCGGTGTTTGTCACTGTGACCCGCCATTAGGTAGCTGAAACCGTCCTCTGCTGCCATTTTTCAAAATGGTGTCTCTTGGCCTGTTTGCAGAAACAGGATCTTTAGTGGTTGTATTTGAAAGCCTTTTACTGTGCTAAGAGCCGTGTTGGATCTGCAGCGAGGGAGTAATACATGCATGCAGGCACACACACCGTCCTGCCTGTGCCCTTCCCCCTAGCCTAGCTGAAAGAGGACTCAAAATGGGGCCTAAGGCGGGAGAGGAATCCGGTTAAAAGCTTTTAGTGGTGCGTGATGTCACCGTGACATCAAGTTGCCTTGGCAACGGCGAGGGGAGGACTTCATTTTCCCTCCCTCTCCTCTAACCACTCCCATCCGCTCTCCTTTTCCTCTCCACTCTGCTCCACTGGCAGCACAAAAAGCTTTTAGCTGAAAGGCAGCAGTGTGAGCTGCATGAGATCGCTGACAGTTTTGAAATATGAGCCTCTGGGGAACGAGGGAGAAAAAAAAAAAAAAAAAAGGAGTGCTGAGGGTATGTGTTTCCCTGGCAACGAGGCACCGGATTTGGTCGTCAGCCAACACACTGCTCCGTTTAAAAGCTTTTAATAATAGAGTCATTTTGAGACGGACGGCGGAGGTTTTGCTGGAGAAGAGAGGAAGACACTTCCAGGCTGCAGATTAGCCCTAAAAGGCAGGAAAAAAACAGCTCACTGAAAAACTGTGAAACACTTAGGCACCATTGCAACACAATACAAAATGCTGACTGCTCTGTAATCTGTAATCAGCTTTCTATTCATAGCCCTGGGTTGAAGACAATGGAGCCCTGCAGGAGGGGTTTCTCTGACCAGTTGGAGACCCCCTCCCCCATTTACATCTCAGCAAGGAGGCAGATCTCCGTCCACCCCCATCTCAAGCGCCCTAATCTATACCATATTATGTGCATTTATTCTCTTGCTCCCCTTCTCTCTTCCGCCCTCTTTGTTCCCAATCTTTCTTTCAAGAATATTTATGCATCAAAGCCACACTGCACAGAACTCAAACTGCTCCCTCCCCTGCAGCATTTTGCCATTTTCTTTGTCTCTCCATATTGCCTTTTGCCACCTAAAAAGTGCAGAAACGGTGAGGCACTAACACACAAGCCCCCCCCCCCCCTCACTTCATCTTTATTAGTGCCACTAGTTGCCGTCAGTGCGGCTTAACTCAGTTCTGGCCTGATTAGACATTTGACCCATCTGCTCCTCAGTAACCTGACAGGCGGCCGGTGCATTTTCAAGCTACAAATTTGCATCTTTGCCCGATCCATCACATCTGTCACTGAAGACAGACGTTAATTATCTCTGCGGTTACAGAAATGGAAGGGCAAATGAAAGTCGCTGTGAAAGGTTTGTTTTACCACCGATGCCTCCAGTGTGCAGTTAAAATGCATGCTTCTAAAAAAGTGAATCAGTCTTTTGGTTATGGGTTTATATTCATTGCTTTCTGACTCCCTTTTGAAAGGTTGTGATTGTTGCCTTGACAGTTTTCGTTCAGAATTACAGACAGGGTAGGTGTGTTTCTCTCACAGGACAATGTAAATAGTCATTAACCCTTGTTCGTTTCAATATCATGAAATCCTCTTGCTGGGGTCCACTATAATTGTGTTTAATTATCTCCGTACATTTTTTCATTCATTAAAGTGGAAGTAATCCAGACTACTAATCCAGGAGCCAGACTAATCTACAGATAAACTGCTCATGCGCCGCTATTGTCTTGAAGTAATGTACCCACATCTGCGGTATAACAATCCCACTACATTGTAAAATGTAACTACAGGATCTAATTTCCAGGAGAATTTTACAGATTTCTAATTTCATCTTGCTCATAATGGTTGAAAATATCTCTATAACTGCACTATCTATCTGTAACACAGTAACGTTTGCAAGTAAATGTGACCACTGTACAGTTTTAAAAAGGTCCAAAAAAGCAGTTTAAATATATTGTATCAGTTTAAATGGATTGTATCTGTGTGGTGCTGCTGGATGATTCATTCAAATAAATCCAGTGTAACATAGAACACAAACATAAGGAAAAACTGATTTCTTGTTTTCCATTTGATAGTCCCACTTCACTATACTGTAGTATATGCAAGTTGCATGTATTTTGTACTGCGTACTAGTTTCTGCAGTGCAACATGCTTAATCTTTCCCCTCTTTTGCTGCTTGAGTCTTTTTTGGTCTGTTACAGGCATGTCCAAAGTCCGGCCCGCGGGCAGATTTTATATGTCCCGCACCTTCTGTCTTAAAATGCGTTATTTATGGCCCGCCAGCACAGTCAAAACGGAATGAATAAATCATACAAATTCAACATGCAATTCCTCTTTTTACCTCATGGTGGCAGCACCACTCTGTAACTGTCTGGCTGTTTGAAATTGGCTCTGACCCTTGACCTGTCATGGCTACGGCAGGTAAAAAAAGGAAAGTCGATAACGAGGGCCGCCGCTTCCAGGAGAGGTGGAGATCGCAATATTTTTTTCACCGAACACCGAAACAACTGTGTCTGCCTAATTAGTCATGAGACTGTTGCCTTGTTTAAGGAATATAATGTAAAGAGACACTACGAGACCAAACATGCTAATGCTACAACAAGCTATCAGAGAGCGACCGTGCTACAAAAGTGAAGCAATTTTTACATTATCAAATCTGGCCCTCTTTGAAAAAAGTTTGGACACCCCTGCGGTAAAATAACAATGTCAGGAAGTAAAGTGACATTTTTCATTCATTCAACCTGACAAAATTACGTTCTTGTGGGAAGAAAAGAAAAGAAAAGGCAACAATGTAACTTCTTTACATTCTAATAGAATGTAAAGAAGTTACATTGTATCAGAATGTAGCTTCTGTACATTCTAATAGAATGTAAAGAAGCTACAGTGTATAGAATGATTCTATTGAAGTTATTCCTTTTTAAAATGTTTTAGACGAGTCACTAATCACTTTAAAATAGTGATCATAGCTGGTTTAACTTACAGACATGAGATTGATCTTCTCATGTCACTCTCTTTATACAATGATATAAATTCATCCCCGTTTTATCTACAAGGCTACTTGTATTGTTTAAAATAATGTCAGCAGGGACTGTTGGCCCTTGGGCATTTTCACATTATCAAATCTGGCCCTCTTTGAAAAAAGTTTGGACTCCCCTGGTCTGTTATGACCAGTAGCATATGTGGCTAATGTTAGCTTATGTTAGCAAACGGATTCTTCTCCACTTCTTCTCTACCGTTACACAAAGCTTTAGCATTTAGCACCAATTTGCATTTACAGTTTGCCACAGCGTCTGCAAACAATGGCGACAGTGCTAACAGAGTCTTACCTGGGGGGGAAAGGGGGGTGCACTAACTAAAAGGCAGGCCGGCAGGTCGGCTATGTCAACAAAGCAGAGAGAAACTCAGATTACAACACAAACAAAGGACAAGTGACTTAATTCTCTGCTCAGGTAGACATTACTTCGTTATATCTTTATATTACAAGCTGTTGTTTGATGCTATATAAACTCTCTGAATGTTGTACAGCAAACATTTAAAGTAATGAAAGCTGGCACTTATATGGACTTCAATAAACACAAAAGACCTTACATATAAAATGAAGGAGTAAACCAGAGTAAAGTTCTGTTATCTCTTTGAACCTTAGAAAAACGTTTAATGCAAATTTGTGCACATAAAACACATACATACAGTACAGTGCATACAGTAAGTATAAAGTATAAATGCTTTTAATGTTGTACATCTCATCTATTGTACCTCATAATAAACCGGTCCACAATGGACCGAATGCAAACTAACTGGACCACTTTGGCCAAAGCTGGATCCACAACCAGAGATAGTCTTCTGCACCCGCTCATGGCAAAAACTACATATGACGAAAACAACTGATGAGCACATTTTGTAGTGTGATTAGAGCATTTGAGGCTGGTGTGTGTGTGTGTGTGTCCTCCACAATAATACAGGAGATACAAGCTGTCCGGTTCATTTTGATACTAAGTAGAAAGCTCTGTGCAAGTCTGAGCTCAGGCAGGCGGTCCAATCTTAGCTTTTTGGGAATTTACTCCTCCTGGTGGGGGGGGGGGGGGGGGGGG